AAATCATTGCCAAACTTACTCATCAATGATAAACGGATTCTCATTTAAAAGATACATACATGCATGCATGCATACATACATACATACATGCATGCATACATACATACATACATACATACATACATGCATGCATGCATACATACATACATACATACATACATACATACATACATACATACATACATACATACGTACACTGAGGTGTAAATATTGAGATGAATGGCTATAAAACAACAAATCTAATACACTCATTTTGAATATACAGAAAGTAACTTACGAGAGAAATGCACCAGCACTGTTATGTCTGAACTCAGTGTTTCTCGAAACATCTTGGAAAAGTTTTATGCATAGTTTCGGCTGCTGCCCAGTGACAAGCAGTTCTTATAAGAAATACAAGAATAAAGCCCTTGACAATGTCATGCTAAAGAAAATGGCTGTGCATCAAAATTTCGTACATGTCTGCAATATTACTCTGTTTATTTACATAGCTCGGCTCATTCACAATACAGTAACAAAGCATGTTAGGATACTTGGGCTGAAAAGTCGGCACAGCGCAAAAAAATTCTAGACAATACATCAATAATACATTTCCTACTAAGCTCCTTGTTGCAAACAGTGTTTATATTGAAAGCTATAGACCCCATTTTGTTTCCTGAAAACACTCCTCAAAAAGACTTCAAAGTTTCCACATCAACACAGTTCCCATACAGCTGTCTGTTAGTCTGCTTGAAAAAAATTTAGTTCACTGGTGGGCAAAGACTGTACACTAATTATGTGAGCTGATGCTCCAGTGCACTGCATGTATGTTTTGCTGCTGGCCTCAACTGCGATGTTGCTCAGCACATATGTGTAAAATCACAACTAAGACTATGCCACTACAAAGTAATTATGTGTCATTTGCATGAAACAGGGACCACAATAAAAGAACATAAGAACATTTACCCTCCCACAGTTCAAAAATTGTAAATACATTTCCATGAAGTTTTCACAGTTCATCTGAGAATAGTAATAATGGTTATAAAAACATTGTTACATCCGCTAACAAAATATTTTAGGATGCCAGCTTCAATATTAGAGTATACCAGCACCTTTGTAGGGCTAAACATTTGTACAGGCATCTAGAAAAAGAGAAGTAAATGCATGCTACAACTACATATCAATTAAAATAAATACTTTTATTTCTAGTCTGAGCAAAGCTGCATAGTACGCAATTACATTGTGAACAAACCTATCCGAGCAAAGTATACATTAAAGAAGTGACGCATAGTAGAAACGGAGAAGTAGACTATTGGAGGACCAACAGGCAGTGGGATAACAATACACAAGCACTAAAATCTACTGTTAGACATACTAGGAGCAGTGATAATTTTCTTTCTTCCAAATAAAATAATCCACATAGAATCACTTCCCACAGCTTATACAGACCATGGCATCATTGGTGCTATACAAATGAGTGTATACTGAAGGATTATATTGACTAGGTACAAGATAACCCACATCCATGGCTTCACTTCTTGTACTACAAAGAATGCAAACACAGTTACCATAGCCGACCATGGATGCTGTGATTTATGGCAGCGAAACGCAGACACGCAGGCACTTTGATTAACATGCATGTTAAAAACTTCAGCTCAAAATTATTTGCCCACTAACACTACAGCAGTCTTTATATTAGTGTCATAGTTTGATATCTTCCATGTAAAATATAAATAATTTGGAGTGCAAGCAAAGGAACTGCTGAATAATGCACTGCTCAGAAGGCAAACTGCAGTTGCACACAATGTTACTATGTATGCAATTCAAACTGCTTCTGACATCACAATGTACTCTTTCTGCTGCCGTAAACTTTTGAGCAGGAGAACAGTCCCTGGCAGTCCCTTTGATGATTGATATGTGGGGTTTAACGTCCCAAAACCACCATATGATTATGGGAGATGCCGTAGTGGATGGCTCCGAAATTTTGACCACCTGGGGTTCTTCAACGTGCACCCAAATCCGAGCACACGGGCCTACAACATTTCCGCGTCCATTGAAATTTTGAATGACTGTCAGTTGGGCGTGTTGGTAAAGGTTCATGATGAAACAAGCGCAAAAATGCACACACTCAGAAAGGACACAGACAAGCACTTACTAGCAACTGAAAATTTTATTTCGAAGCGAACACTAATAAATACATCACATGCATGTACGTCATTCCCGACTTTCCCTGTCATCATCAACAACGTGATATAACAAAATATGCACGCGCCTACAACCGGAAAAAAACACGTGTCAAGAACTAAGAAAAGAAAATGTGGAAAAATAAATAAATAAAAACAAAAATAAATAAATAACAAAAAACACAGAAACAAAAAACGTAACACAGAGAAAAACACTGGATTATGTGACGTCCAAAAAAGCAAATTCCGCATCTGTTAGTAGAACTGACGCTTGGCTGACGCAACTGTCCCCTCTTTTCCTTATTCTATACGCTTCCATTATTTCTGACATCGTCCGCTTGTTGTGCCTGTCAATTATTCGTGTGTCGGAAAATTTCGGTTGGCAGGTGCACTCCTTGCAGTGCATCGCTAAGTGTGAGTAAGGGGCCCCCTTTTGTGAACTCTCATATTCACGAAGGCGCACATTTATGCAACGACTCGTCTGACCAACGTATTCCTTTCCACATGTGAAAGGAGTTCCGTATACAACATCTTTTTTGCACTCAACGTACCTCCTGCCATGCTTTATGCTACATCTGTTCGATTCTCCAGTTCCTTTTTTGTTGACTAGCCTTTCTGCTGCTGGACAAATCTTTGATAATTTGTTTTCAGCTGAAAAAACAACCCGCACGCCATACCTTAATGCAACTTTTTTCAACCTATGTGAAATATTGTGCAGATACGGGATGATCACTGTCCGCTCTCTTTCACCCTCAACTTGTCTCCTCTCTTCGCTTGTGCCAATGATTGCATTTTTTACTTCCCGACAATTCTTCTCACATGCCAAAAGGATACATTCATCCTGGTAACCAGCTCCCCTCAAACGCTTGATCTGCGCGGAAACACTCTCATTCATTGAGTGTACGCACGATTTCATGAGGGCAGCTTTGATGCAAGAAGTTGCAATCCCATTCTTTACTATCTTCGAATGTGCCGAATGATAACTCAGCAATGGTTCTTCCGATCTAGGGTGATACATCCAACACGTGTGAAAAGGAGACAAATTAATTTTTAGGTCCAGAAACTGATTGCGTCGTTTCTTTGGAACCTCAAAGGTAAACTGTAAACCACACCCGTTTTTCCTAAAAGCTTCTAAAACAGTCACTAACGTGCTCATAGTCGGATCATTTTCTACCAAAACAAGGTAGTCATCTACGAATATGAACAGCTTCAGATCCATACCATCTAGCTCCTTACCTACTGCTGTGTCAAGTTTGCTCAAAAAAACATTGCATAAGATCGGGCCGACACTAGACCCAATGCAAATCCCATCCTTCTGGACGTACAATTCTTCATTCCACCCCACTAGCGTGGAACTCAGATACGTGGTCAAAATCTCCATAAAACCTTCTACAGACACACCACAGGCGTTACAAAAAGCCACTTCATTTTTTTCCGCGATGCACTCTTGTACGCTTTGTAGTAACGGACCATGCGGAACGGAATAATACAGATCGACGACATCAATACTGAAGGCATCAGAGACCCTTACATCATCTCCCTTTAAGTAGTCCACAACTTCCATGGAGTTGGAAACCAAAAACACGTCACAAATCCGGAGCCTTTTCACATATTTTTGCAAAAATTCGGACACAAGACGTAGCCAGGCTTGTGACAATGCAATCATTGGCACAAGCGAAGAGAGGAGACAAGTTGAGGGTGAAAGAGAGCGGACAGTGGTCATCCCGTATCTGCCCAATATTTCACATAGGTTCAAAAAAGTTGCATTATGGTATGGCGTGCGGGTTTTTTTTTTCAGCTAAAAACAAATTATCAAAGATTTGTCCAGCAGTAGAAAGGCTAGTCAACAAGAAAGGAACTGGAGAATCGAACAGATGTAGCATAAAGCATGGCAGGAGTTACGTTGAGTGCAAAAAAGATGTTGTATACGGAACTCCTTTCACATGTGGAAAGGAATACGTTGGTCAGACGAGTCGTTGCATAAATGTGCGCCTTCGTGAACATGAGAGTTCACAAAAGGGGGCCCCTTGCTCACACTTAGCGAAGCACTACAAGGAGTGCACCTGTCAACCGAAATTTTCCGACACACGAATAATTGACAGGCACAACAAGCGGACGACGAGAGAAATAATGGAAGCGGATAAAATAAAGAAAGGAGGGGACAGTTGCGTCAGCCAAGCGTCAGTTCTACTAACAGATGGAGTTTTTTTAGTTTTTTTTTATTTCTTTTTCCACATTTTCTTTTCTGAGTTCTTGACACGTGTTTGTTCCTGATTGTGGGCGCATGCATATTTTGTTGTGTCACGTTGTTTATGATGACAGGGGAAGTCGGGAATGACGTACATGCGTGTGATGTATTTCTTAGTGTTCGCTTCGAAATAAAATTTTCAGTTGCTAGTAAGCGCTTGTCTGTGTCCTCTCTGAGTGTGTTTTTCTGCGCTTGTTTCATCAATAAATTTTCTTCTATTTCAACTTTACACTAGGTACGAGAAGCAAACTACAAATAAGTTCACTAAGAAAGACACGTTAGAGTGCATTACAACACAACAGCTAATGTTCATAACTTTAATGCTGTCTAACATAGCCAGCTCACCATACCGCATATAGGAGTAAATGGGCAGTCTAGAAGACACAAAGCACTTGTGGATTATGAGTGTGCTTGTTGCTCACATCTATTAATCCAAATGAAGAAAACTTTTCAAAAATACACTTAATCAGGGGAAATAATCATACGCAACAAACACGACGGGCTCCTACAGGTGCCATCAACACTCACCATTATTGTTGGTATCAGTGTCTTGCAGGATGGATATGCTGTGTCCTGCACAGAACGCCAAAGGAGCGCTCCATGACTTGGTCTGCATGTGTGCTGGCTACATCGCACTGCTGCTGAAGTAGGCTAGCCACAAACAGGGAGATGGGGAGCCATGGCTTTGAGGCACACTGAACGTCACCTTTAGAGATCAATAATGCATACTTAGGTCAGGTACAATTTGTAGAAAAAAATATATCACTATGCAATCGTGGTGAACACGTTCGGCTGAACCACAACATGCCATATCACTGAGAGAGAAAAAGCTACATCGAGTAAAAGATGCAGTTACTGGCCCTATGTCATTTTAGGCTTGTTCAATAGGTCTTTCTCCTTGCAAGTTGTGAACAGCCAGGTGATTTTCACCCACTTGCTATTTCCTTCCAGAGCACTTGATCCACAGAGTGAGTCACAAGCTCGAGAGCTCAATAAAGAATCAAAGTATGTATTTGTGTTCGTTCAGATGCACAAGCTTTTGAGCCTCAGATCATTGGAGTTTCATTCATAAGCTGCAGGTTTTCAACTTACAACATTCTCAATTATCTCGCAATTTAATTCTATTAATGTTCAATAAGCTATATGTGTGAGAAAAATACAGGTATCCACTGCAAGTAACCATGCTTGGGTTTTCAATTTGTGCACAGTAAGTGGCGTTTACTTAATCGTATGTATTAAAGAAAAACTAACCTTGCAGCCAGCCGTTAGGCAGTTTTATGCCCTCCCAAGCAGATCGCAGTCATTCCAGATGAGGCTGCCATGCATGCTTCCAGGCCACTTCCCGGTACGCTGAATAATAACAGTCCCAGCAGTGGCATAGACTTGCACAGTGAGGGAGCACGTGTCCTTCCTATTTTTGTACAGGTGCTCCAAGTCATGATGAGTCTTGATATGCCAGTGCGTGCAACCGATGCATCACAGGACCTTAACAAACAAAACTCTGCAATCTGTGAAGAGCCCAAAACGAGATATTTAAAAACAATCATTAAAAGCGCTCAATTCTAATACTTATTTGACAAAGCTATCACTTTGTCAAAGTGATCAAATCTGCTATAATCACTTTGAAACAAACTGAAGCGCCATGTAAAATTTATGTACCGCAATATATATGTCCTAGTGAAGTATAGTGCTACTACAGCAGTAATCTTCTATAGAACTAATTTTTTAAAATAACATGAATTCCTCAAGTGCAACCTGGCTCCTGGAAAATAAATTCACATTAACTTTCCAACTATCAAACGTGGTAAATAGCCAGGCCCATACTAATAATCAAACAAGAGCTCACTTATATCAAATCACAAAAAACGTCTGATGTATTTGCCTGCCTCTTTATAATATATGTATGCATATAACAGTAGTAGTAAATTTTTCATGCTTCAACTTAACATAGGGAAACGTTACATCTGATGGGCTTAAAAACTTGCACACGTTATAGTACTGCGTGAATAGCAACAAATTTATTTCTGCAAGGACAACTCACCGATAGCAGCATTTAGTAGCCGTCAGTGTCACGAGGAACCAAGTGTGCTCTAGGGCCAAGAGGCAAAGGACATCTGCAGACTGGAAGCTGCCGATGACAGGCGTGACCGTCCATTGATATAGTGTAAGAACTGACCATGACCGGCTGTTGTCAAGGCTCTAGTGCCGTGCAAAACGATGGCCAGACGAACACGGAAACCTGTAGTTAGCCGGTACTCGCCTACAACTTCATCCAAAGCAAGGCACCGGTGAAATCTTTACTCTTTCTGGGAGCCGGAGGGAAGCTTGAAGTTCACGGGCTCTCGCTGCCACATATAACTCTCAAGTTCTTACCGAAAAACAATCTAGGCGCGCTGCTGAAGGAACACGATCCACAACAGAATGTAGCATCTCGCAGCTTCGGTTGATCACATCACAGCGCTAGGACTATGGTTATCACAAAAAGAAGAAGTGACGGGTTAACAAACAAAAGCGCCAAGCTCCACTACCGCAACTTCGCAGGGCAAAACAGTTATCAACGCTGTCTTTGAAATTTTCGGTCACACGAGCACAGCTTCTTAACAAGTCTTTGAAACGTCAACACAGCACCAGTGTTCACAACGAACATCGTTTCACTCCCGAACACTAGATTGTTCACAAGAACCGAACCCAGCGCATAGTTCATACGTTTCCGCACGTACTTGGGGTCACTCAAGTAACGTGCCAAAACGTTGTCAATCGGAAATGTCCCACAGCACACAACTGATAGACTGGAAAGTCAAGCGAACGAACTGTTACCGGCACACAAACACACATTGCAGGCTTCTCGAGTGCTTGTTGCCGTCGATACACCGGCACCGATCTCCGCTTGATAAACACACCGACACACAGGCATCGCGTCGCTTCACCGTGCACCACTGCACTGTCGCAGCTTTCCACACTGCTTACACGCACCGAAAGAGCTGCCGTAATCACAATGCATCTGGTCGAACTCTTAAGTAACTCATGCGAGAAGCGTTTGCACCGACCAATATGCTGTTTACGACGCCATGTTGTTTACGACAACTGCGCAGCACGTGAGAAAACATGGAGTGAGGAAAAACTGTAAAATAGCTCTTAGAAAGTACTTGCACATTTTTCACGGCGTGACTAAATTTGCTCTTATGTGGGAGAGAGATGATATGACGAACACAACAGGCGTGTCAGATGCAACGTTCGCCAGATGAAAGAAGTGTTTTGGCAACGTCATGGAGTGAGCTGATGTTGAGGGTATTGCTTCACAACCAATCACAAGCTTTGCCTGTCTGCCAAGCTGTCGTCTGCTCGTGTTTGTCGTCTACTTCGATCAGAGCATGTGACGGAGGATACGCCTTCACAACGCAATTATTCTCAGGTCAAGTAGTCGCTGCATCGCACAAAATACATGTCAGTGGCTCACTCTACCTTTGAATGATATTCGTGCGCCAAGTTAAGTGGCTGGTAATTGTTGCAGGGATGAATTCAGCCTAGGTTTGCTCCAGAATCGTGAGGGCTTGCATATTTCCGGTGTCATTTAAAGTTACTAGGGTCATTTTATCTCAACTGCTTGCCATATTGTCACGGCCCATATCGGTTTCTGAACAGTGAAGGTAAAAACACTTGATTTATTTGTAGTTCCATGCGTAATCACGCACACCCCTTATACGCTTCGGTTTACAATGTACGTGCCGTTCCAGATCGTCCCAAAATGTATCGACAGCTGTATATCAGAGATCGCACCCATTGGACAGTTAGAGCCAATCGAAGTACACCAGAGCACAAGCTTTATGAACCACTCACTGAAAAGTTCCTCTCATTTTTATTTCTAATAGCGTGCAAGGAATGTGCTCCCATTAACCTCTTTGGTGGTAATGTCCACCAATGAGGCAAGGATCTCGAGTCGTACTTTTAATAGGGTGAGACGGGGCGCAACACAGCGACATAACAAATAAGGTTGATCTTGTGCCGTGCCGCGTTCGAATGCACCGACCATTCACGTAGCACATTGGTTTTCATCCAACCACAAATTTTTACGTGCATAATTTTACGCCATTGACGCCCAATAGGAGTCTTCAATTACTGTGACTTCGAACTTATTGGACGACGGTGGTTGCCAATACCATCCACTGCGTACAAGGGAAACAACACACGAAACTCAAAACACTGAAAGAAATAAAAACGCACAAGCAGTCATCAGACAGCCCTTCATGGGCGTGAATTAACTCAAAACCACCCAGGGCACCAAAGTATACCGCCGCGGCGGCAGGTTCCAAGCAGCCACATTGTTCCTAAGAGTTGTCCGGACCACTCTTAGGGTTTTTTATTAGCCACGCTGTTTTTACGCAAAATTTTGCTTTGTGAATCCACTTACGAGCACTTTTCGGTGACGTAAGCAAATATAGCAATTGCATCATCATTGCTGACATGTTCCCGGGCAGTCACAGCACGCTTTATTGCAGCGGCCAATGTGAACAACGACGGCCTCTTATGACGTTTTTTTTTTTTTTTCGTTTCGTAAATCGACTTACGCAACAAAATTTTTCTTGCGAAAAAATGTTTTCGTAAGTGAGTTTTGTGAATCTTGCCCCTGGGTTCTTAGAAAAGTACACCACCCTTTTTGAAACAAACTAAACGCCTGCGCAATGATAACCATGACCACATGACAAGTTCCAAGACTTCTATCTACTAAAAATGCAATGTGGACTTGGGAATGGTTTGTGGGGCAGACTGCAAGGTGTATTAACATGCGTTTGATGGGGCATGCTAATTGATTAGAAGACGGTAGAGGGAGGCATCTACCAGTCCATTGTGGCACATGCGTGCAGGGATGCAAACCCATCTTCAGCAGTACCAAGCTGTTAAGGCGAGACAAGAGCCAACACGGAGGAAGGAAAAAGGTAAGGAGAGGGCATGCCCAGCCGGCGCAGGGCGTAAAAAATGTGGCGGAAATGACATCATGGCGGCCATATTCACTAGGCACAATGGCGGCGTTGCTATGGTTACGTGTTGCGCAGTGGAGCTGGTCTAGCAGTGAGCGGCCGCGGCTGGCGGCGGAATGTGTGCCTCCCCAGGTCTCGTGCTGAGCCGTGGCGGACAATATCTGTGCTCTGCGCCGCGTTATTGGTTACGCAGTGTTCTCCTGGCTGTTACATTACTCTTAGCGACGTTTACAAATCCCTTTGTCCATCACGGGGTTTCAACAGTGCGTAGAACAAGTGCATATCCATGTGTCGTGCGGCGGATGACGTGGATGAAGCAGTTAGTGTTCAGCGAAATTGCGTTGGGCACCATGACGAAGCTGAATGACGACGAACGCCTTGCAGGTCAGTGACGGTTCAGCAGTGCTCCTGCTTGTGACAACGGACGACGCTGTTGAGCCCAGCAAGACGCCGTGAGGACCATGTGTACATACGTAGTTTCGTGTTGTGTATGTACAGTAACAACTTGCATGTGCGTATTAAAACACCTTTTCTGTTTCGCTTGGTACACTCTCCACCAGCATTGCATGTAATCTCAACGTAACAGCAACCACGTTCAACTGCCACTAGCACCGTGCTCAAAGTCACCACGGTCGCAGAATGCTGACGCAGGTGAGTTTCACGTGGAACACGGGACACAGTGGCAGGACGCTGCGTCGGCCGCGTGACGGAATGCAACCGTAGAAGGCGCACGACCAATCGATCGTGTTGTCTGTACAGTTGCTGAATTAATGACGTGAAAGCACTCGCCGTTGTCAGTGCATCTAGCGCGCGTTCTCTCGAAGTTGCTTCGTTGTCGGCGAGCTGTTACTCCCTGTTATTACTCGGTCGAAGCGATTTCGCTGAAGGTGTCCCGCTGGCTCAGAGTTATGAGCCCAGTTCCATTAGTTTCGGATCGTCACGACACACGCGCTGCGCAGCCCACGTGCTTTCCGAGCCGGAGAGAGAGTCGTGCCTTCTGCTTTACATTCGGATGTAAACAAGCGAGGAGAATTTGCCTAGTCAATATGGCCGACTTCCGGCTTCATCTCGGCTTCACAACGAGGGACGTCAGGGCCTCTCCTTACCTTTTTTTTTCCTCCGTGAGAGCCAAAAAGCAAGAGAGATCTTGGAGGCATCTTGGATAGCTACACACGGGCCTGATAAGTGCATCACGTGGTGACGCATCCGGGTATCTTTGCAGCAAAGAGCATGATTTCATCTTTAGTACCTACAAGTCCTGGAACTTGTCACGTGGTCATGCTTGTCATTGCGCAGGCGTTTAGTTTGTTCCAAAAAGGGTGGTGTACTTTTTCAATAAACCAGTTGTTAGTCAACGATCGTCCTATTCGCTTCGTTTTCATGTCTCGTATTTAGCGCAGTTATAATTTTTCTAAATGAGTCAAACTGCTTTATTTTTCCTAACTTTATCACACTATTCCGGCAATTCTTATCCTTCATTCGCTCGCAAATTATTTTAATCCTCTAAATAGAAAAACGTGTAACAGAAAATGTAACTATACTACTGACGAAAAAAATTGTGCTTTTTATAAAAACGCTATACATGCAGCATATATCAATTCTGCGCCAAGGCGGCAAAGAAAGATAAAACAAAAATTAAGTAACCATCATAGTCATGAAAGAGTGGTGCCTTGAGAGATTAAGGAAAATTAAGGTTGATATGTCACTTTAAAATCAGCACAACGTTACGAGGCAAACGTAAATTATGTCGTACATGACTTCCATGTAATGATTATCATGTTTGGACGTGTATTTTACATTTTTCGTCTGTTCTAGTCACGTCATACCAAATTTGGTATATGTGGAGCTAGAAAAACGGCCGCCAGCGTGCTATGAGCGTAGCATGCACTCATGTTTTACATGACAAGCATGCCGTGAATATTATTCTTGGACGTGTCATATACCTGACATCACGGAATAACAAATTTGGTATACGTTGAGCTAGCGAAACGGCCATGAGCGCATCATGAGCGAGGTATATTGTCAAGTTCTTACATGGCACGCATGTCATGATTATCATGTGTGCACCAGCCATATACCTTCGTCATCCATTGACGTCCCGTAATACCAAACTTGGTATATGTGAAGCTAGCAAAACGACCGCGAGCGCATCGTGAGTGTTGCAT